CAGTCTTGGCATGGTAGTCCAAGATAGCGTGATAAGGTGATAACCAGTCCATCCCTAATATGACATCAAAATCAACCATGTCCAGAAGAAGCAAATCTACATGAGTCTCAAGACCCCCAATCACAACTACACATGAACGATGGACTCGATCTACCACAATAGAATCACCCACCGGTGTAGCCACATAAACATGAGCACTCAAAAAATCACTAGGAATGACCAGATACGGTGCAAAATAAGATGACACATAGGAGTACGTAGATCCCGGATCAAATAAAACTGAAGCATCTCTGCTACAAACCAGAATAGTACCTGTGATAACCGCATCGGAATCCTCAGCCTCGGGCCTGGCTGGAAGAGCATAAAATCTGGGTCGTGTATGATTTGTGAGGAAAGAGTGTAAAGCACGAAGGGTGATGTTGTGCCGCACGATGTACCATTCCGTGTCGATTATATTGATTATATGGTGAGGACGAGAATAAAAGCGCGAAGGGTAATGCCGTGCACATTTTCATTACTTGATTGCTTTGGTGAGGACGAAAGTAAAAGCACGAAGGATGATGTCGTGCACTTATTGATTTCTGGTTCTTTGTTGATATCCGAGATATATTGTTTCTTTCAATTATCTGTTGTCTTTCTATTCTGAATTGATATATCCCCCGCAGCATGCTACCCCTCCCATATTTGACTGTTTATTTATGTTCTTCTTTTCCGTTGTATATAGTTGAATTGCACAGGTTGTTTGGTAGTTTGGTCCTAGCCTCGTCACTACTTCGCCGAGGTTAGGCTAGGCACTTACCAGCACATGAGGTCGGTTGTGCTGATACTACACTCTACACTATGTGCAGATCCCGGAGCAGCTTTTGGTTGGGTGGCTACCTTCAGTCCACGCGGAGATCCAAGGTAAACCTGCAGGCGTCCGCAAGCCCTGGCGTCTCCCTCTATCCCTTTATCCCCGTTTCATTTCTTTGATTCAGAAACAGTGTATCGTTTATTTTATTTTTCGGACTTTGTATGTAGTAAATCTTAAATCGTCTGTGACACTGTGACACCAGTTCTGGGTGGTTAAGGTTTAAACAGTTGTATTAGTTACATGTTCAGATACTCTATTGCTTTTCTTCCGCTTATTTTAAATTTCCGCTGTTTACACGTTATTGCTTTATAACTGTTAAAGAGAATAAAAAGGGTAAAAAGGTTATTTGTTCAATAATCGGCTTGCCTAGCTCGCATTAGTAGGCGCCATCACGATTCTAGAGGGTGGGAAATCCGGGTCGTGACAATTTTAGTATAACCAAAGCATGTTAGTGAAGTTAGGAAATTATTATTAGTATTCCAAAAATGAAATGTAGATGAAAGAAATTTCTATGAAAAAGAAAATATGCAGAATATACTAGAATCTAAAAAATTAACTCATTATGGACAAGCTATTCATTTCTGGCAAGATTATGTGGACTAACGATGAAACAAATCTGCAGAAGCCGATCAGGTCAGTTCTCTATGAAGAGTACTGTTTCCTATCTATCAAATATAAGTAGATAGATAGTATAAATGTTTTTCAATATTCTAGAATATATAATTTGCGCTAATTATATACGACCTTAATGTTTATTCCGTCTTAATTAGGTCATCAAAACTATTGCGTGTCATCCTCTATATATATTGAATTAACAAAATATTAAGTCATGTCATGCTAACCTATACAAATTAAAACTTTTAAGTCTAAGAAGAACTTGAATCCCCACAAAACCCAAAGAAAATAAATTCCACACAAGGATTTTTCTTAATTAAAAAAAAAAAGTTATCTTATTTAAGAGTATGTTACAGATGGGAAGAACTTGTGTGAAAGGTTTAATCAATTTATATGTCAACATTTTTGACAATTACTGATTTCTAAAAATCTAAAATGTTTAGCTTTTTGTTTTATTCTTTGACTCTCTATCTCCTCTGTCATGACCTAAGCTAAATAGTTTGAATGGTCTCAAGTGGAACATTGAGATGCCTTTAAATCCTAAGAGGCTCGTCTCTCTGCTTATTATAATTTACAACTCCTTGTAAACTTAAGATGAGATTTAAGAGTAATTCAATAATTTTTAATTTCAGAATGAACTATGACATTGATTTTCTATATGTGCTTACTGTTTCGTACTGTTTTGAAAGAAAACTTTTGAACAGTTCCTTACCAAGGTAAGTTCTTAAAGAAATGCTACTAAATTGCTTGATTTAATTTTGCTAAGAAGTTGTAGTTGATTTAATAGTGTCTTCTTTATTGTTTTATGTCTAATTAATTGGTGATAGTTTTAAAACCTCTTTGTTCTTTGAAATGCACTAACTCTGTTGTTGTTTGTCTATAGATATAATTGATGATCTTATTTGATTTATTGTCTCACATATTCTTTATCCTCTTGATTTATGTAACATGATAATTTATAAAAGATAATTATTACAAGAAAAGGTACAATACACAGAGAATAAGTAACAAAATAGTTATTATCTGTTGTAGGTTTGCATTTTTCTGTCATAGAATTATAATCAGTTAATTCTATTTTAGTAAAAAATAATTTTTTTTAGAGAAAGACCAAGTAGAAACTAGTAGAAATGGCGTGGGGTAGCCACTATTTAAGGTGATATTTATTTTTTATCCAGCAATTTTAATGTTGAGTAAAAATAGCCACTAATCTATTAAAATTAATATGAAAAGACATTTTTACCCTTTCTTCCATTGCTTTTCTTCCCAAACCCTCGCTTCTCTCTCAAGTTCGATACCCACTCGTTTTTCGTTTTCTTTCCAGGAGATATCCTAGTTTCAATTTCGTTTTCTTTCCACGAGACATTTTTACCCTTTTTTTTATTATGCTTTGCTTTCTATCAGAATGTCACTTTTTATTGACATTTAAAGAAAAAGGCAAATGTGCAAGGTCACAACAGAATGTGTTAGACCATTTGAACGAGAATTCACCAATTTTATTTTTTATTTTTTTGACTCTAATTATAGATATCTAAGTCTCTACGTGTTAACCAAAGATCTTGGAATTATTGGCATGGAAACTAAGATTTCAAAATTTAAGGACACTTGGTCCAGAACTTAGAATAACAAGCTCAAAAGTTAAGGACAATAGGTCCTGAACTTACAGTTACAAGTACAAAAGTTAAGGAGAATAGGTCCTGAAGTCCTTAACTTAGACTAACAAGCTCAAAAGTTAAGTACAATAGGTCCTGAACTTAGAATAAGAAGCTCAAAAGTTAAGAATAATAGGTTCTGAACTTCGACTAACAAGCTCAAAAGTTAAGGACAATTGGTACTGAAGTCCTGAACTTAGAGTTACAAGTTCAAAAGTTAAGGACATGTAGTCCTGAAGTCCTGAAAGTCCTGAAGTCCTGAAGTGACTTAAAAGTAAATACATGTGTTATTATTGACTAACCGTGCATTTCCCCCTAGAAAATATAACTAAAGTCGATAAGATAGATGTCTTCGATTTTCTATATTCTTAATTCTAGATTTATAGCCGGCCATAGAATTAAAATCCACATTATATTAGTAAAAATAAAAAAATAAAAAGTATTTTTTGAGAAAAATTATGTTTGATTTTTTGGGTATAAAATAGTATATCAATTATTCTTTAATCAAACATTCTTCTATAAAATTTATATACTGAAATATAAATACACATTCTAGTAAGTATTATAATTAGATAAATTAACCTAATTTCTACGATTATGATACTTTTTAACTCAATATCATATTCAAGAGGTACTTCAAAATTACATATCATAATTGCATGTCATATTTACACTTATTGATATGGAGTTGACGCGCAAAGCGCATACTCAAAAAATATGAAAAAAAAATCCTCTTTCGTGTTTAGAGTTAATATAAGACGTCCTATTTTTTAGAATTTTAAAATCTATTAAAAGTTTCAATCGATTATCAATTAGAAATGGTTGCTTAGATATGTCTACAGTCTCGATTTTAAGATCTAACTCCTCGCATAAAACTAAGTAGATTTTGACTGGAAAAGTATTATTTGAATATTAAATAAGGAAGATTATAAATTTCTTTTCGATTAAAAGGTCCTTGTTTGAACTCGTAGCATGTCGATTTTCAATCGATTTTGAATTGAGTAATTATTTTAAAAAGATTCAAAATAACACATCAAATATTCTGTTCCATTTCAATTATAGTGCTATTAAGTTAGTTTTGGTTCCAAATTTCAAACAAAGATTAATTATATTCCAAAACTATATTTTGTGGTGTTTGGTTTCAGAACCAACGAAATTGCTATCGCATTTGATTTTCTTTTTCTTTTGTCATCCTTTAGAAGAATCCTTTGTATTTCAACTAATGTCTTGCTCTTTTTTTCCATTCGCTAAACTATAGAATTTCAAAAATTTAGAAAGAGAAAGATAAAGTAAAATACTTACCTCAAATTCAGAATTTAATCATGATGGAAGTTTATGAAAGGTTATACTCAATTGGTTAGAGTCTCGTGCTATAACATACTACTTCATAAAACAATAAAGAAGAATATTGCTTTGAGAGAGAATAACAATGGAGATAGAATTCTTATTGCTTTGAGATGAGTTACGTACAATGGAATAGGGAAAAAGTGACTTAACCACTAAGTAACAAACCCTGAAATCTCTCTAAATATAGATATTCACCATAAATAAAATATTATTTATAACAGAATAGTTAATTTAGAGAATTTGAGTTGAAATTAGAAAGTAAAATCGTGAGAACCATGAAAAAATACTATACATAAAGGAAGAAAAATAAAATTGATTATAATGTAAATATATTATTTAATTTAGTGAAAAAAATTTATTCAATTAGCTCATTCAATTTTACGTCTACCAAATATTAAAAATTATTAAAATTTGACTTTTTTATTAATAATTATATAAATATAAATTATGGAGTATATATTATAGGCGGCCCTTGTCTAATATAAGTAGTACTAAATCATTCATTATCTTTCATAATCTTTAGCTATGGTGTTGGTTTACACTTCTCAGCCAGACCAAGTTACCGGGAATAATATGGCCTGCGGCGGCAGAAAGAGGAAGATTTCGATTACCACCTTTGATGCGAAAAAGGAGTTGGAAAAGGACGACAACAAAAAGCTTCGGGCAGCGATGCTTAAGCAACGCTATGCTGATATGATATTGAAATCTCAGCAACAAGTTGTTGGGAAAGAGTTGGAGGAAAAAGAGATATCGATGAAGAAGAACTTGTGGGAGAAGCAGTTCCAAGAAGCAATAGCAAAGTCTCAGCGGAAGAGAGAACGAATGGCGGCCCGGTTCGCTATTGAAAACATCAAAAGGACCGTCGACTTTGACGATAATCTGCAGGCTGAGAGAGATTTCTTGATCATGACCGGCGGCGCAACAAGTTATTGGTATCCTTTCTCTTTCTTACCTTGATTGTTATTCTTGCATGTTTTCTTTATGTGTTTTCTTGCATATGTTCTTAATTTGTGTTCTTCTAGTTCCTTTTTTATGTGTTTTTAGTTGCTCTTTGTCTGTTATTTTCGTTTCTTGCATTGTTTTTAGTTCTTAAATCATTCTTTTTTTCTAGATCGTTCATTCTGTGGTGTTTTTATGTGTTATCTTCAGTAGTCCATTTAATTCTTGCATATTTTTTTATGTACTTCGTAATTTCGTTTCATTTTTCAAATTCGTGCTTTAACTGTTTTCTTAGTAATTCCTTTCAAAGAAAGATAAAAAAAAAAACAAAAAAAAAGTTCTTTAATTGGTTTCTTGCTTTATGTGTTTTTAGTTGTGCTTATGTGTTTTCTTAGTAATTCGTTTCAAAGCATTAGAAGAAAAAAAAGACCAAAAAAAAAAAAGAAAAAGAAAAAGAAAAAAAAAGTACTACTTTAATTGGTTTCTTGCTTTATGTGTTTTTAGTTGTGCTTATGCTTTTTCTTAGTAATTCGTTTCAAAGCATTAGGAAAACAAAAAACAAAAAACAAAAAACAGAAAAAGAAAAAAAAAAGTACTACTTTAATTGGTTTCTTACTTTATGTGTTTTTAGTTGTGCTTATGTGTTTTCTTAGTAATTCATTTCAAAGCATTAGAAAAAAAAAAACAGAAAAAGAAAAAAAAAGTACTACTTTAATTGGTTTCTTGCTTTATATGTTTTTAGTTGTGCTTATATGTTACTATATCTTTATGGCTTAGAGATATATACTTAAGATGTGATCAGTTTAGACGAGAGATTTTTAGGCTAATAAGAAAAACTATCTGAGGGTGTTTAGATTGATGCTACACTAGTATAGGCTTAAAAAGAGTCTAGATAGATTTTTGATTTTTTGGGCTTTTGCCATGTTAAGATTAGATCTGTTTATATTAAGAATTCTCATAATCAGTTGGGTTGTCATCATGGAGCTGCATTAGAATAACTGTGTACTTTCGGGAAACATAATGCTTCTTATAATTTCTTAGGCTGTGATGTAACGAGATTAAAGAATCTGATGGGAATAGAAAAAATGGAGATTCTGATGGCTACTTTTAGCTATGGGCTGTAATGAATTAGGTTGAGCAATGAGGTTGTGTTGTTCTTGATGTTTGGTACATTTTAGCTTGGTGGAAGAATGATGATATGATAGAGCTTGTTTTAGGTTTGATACAGAGAATTCTACTTGGAGGTTGCAATTAAGGGCTTCAATCGATTTAACATAATTTTTGATGTCTTAGGCTTTTGATGCGCAACTTGTTTGGGACTGAGTCATAATTGTTATTGTTGTTTAGGCTTTTAATGATGTGTGATATGAGGTGACTAGGCATTTTGAAAATATGAGAGGTCTGAGGGTGTTTATTATTGATGGGCTGATTTTTTTGTTTGTGCTGATTTGGCCTATATCCTTACTGGTTTAATATTAGGATCTGCATGTCTTCTTGATGCTTTGAATTTCTAACTCTGGCTATGAGTTTCTAACTTTGGCTTTTAAGAGGGAATCTGCTATATGCCTACTGATTAATTGATTTTTTTTTACTGTTGGGTGCATTTATCTATTACATCTGAGGTTTTAGTCACACAGGTTGCTCTTGACTTGTTGAATTAACTGGAGATTTCTATGTCAAGCCTTCTTCTTTTTTCTGATTTTTGAGCAAAAGATGAACTTTCTTCAAACATCTACTTACATTTTAATTTCTTAATCTCAGTTTGTTCTATAGGAGTGCAGTGTATTCAGACGTGAACTCCTTTTTTTGTGTATGCTGGCGATCTGTTGGAGGTTATTACACACACTTTGCACTCTCTCAACCCCAAGTCTACGTGATGGTTTAGTGCTGCAATCGTTTTAGTCATTGACGTGGGTGAAGTAGAAATCTGCCCTGCTTTATTATCCGTTACAGTCTGAAGAAGGTTTTGGTTTTAGATTGGATGTTGGCGCCTCGTGATTGGATATAGAGTTGATAGTATAGATCAATAAATTGGCAAGGGACAGAAATGAGTGTATGTGATTGTGGTTCCCCAAGGGTCGTACGTGAGTAAGCCTTTTGGACCCTCACTAGACTGAATAAGGATGAGTCCCTGTTTTGGTTCGAGGGTGATGTATGCTGAAACAGCCATCTGCATTTGACTACGGTCTAACAAAATAATAAACGAATAAGGCAACTTTCTTACATGCATTGCCAACGGATTGAACTTGGACACACCATGTATATTATCTGGGACAATGGGATATGAGTCCACCACAACAGAGGCAGCGTATGAGCTAAAATGTTAAATCCATATCCGAATGCTAAGCCTTCTGCACCCATTCGTTCCTCCAATTACTTGAGGACTATATTTCTACTGTTAAACCAGGAACTTGGTTGCTTAATTGAAAGTCGACGATTGAGGCCTTTGAATGACTTTTTCAAAATATCCATTCTCACTCATAGCTGGGGCAGGTGATACCTAATTCATGTACATGTATTATACTTTAGCAGTACACTTTCATTGGACTTGATCCTCTTTTGCCCCCTCGCACATTCTGAAGACAGAGAACTAGCTACATTTCAGTTGATCCGGCCTGATCCAATGCCCTTCTATGGAACATCTGAGATTCTGAATACTTTTTTCAAGGAGTGCATACGTCTTTGCAAATCAAATCCAAATACATGAAGGCTTGTCACTTATGCTTCAATCTTTAGTTCAACTATTCAAGATGACCTGGTTGTGCTAAGGTGACTTGTCTATGATCGCAATGTGATGGAAAGTCATGCTGCTCCGAACCTCAAAAACAAAAAAAAATATTAAGTTTTTATCTCCGCCTGTGTTTGAGTTCTCGTGTAACACAGCCGGTCCCAAGCCCGGACAAAGGAGGAGGGTTTTATTGTCTTTTAGAAGTTACATCCTTCATAAATATGAACCAGGTAACCTGTAATGTTGTGGCCTGCTATACTGTTAGATGTTCAGAAAGTTTTTTGTCTGATCAATTTTTAATCTTGTTGCATACTGTTCAGGCTGAAAATTCTTGTGCAGGTATGCTTTTCTTCTTCCAGCTTCTCTACTTGTAGTTTTGGACAGAAGATAATGCTGAGTTGAGAAGTCATACAAATGCATATATACATGTGTTTTCCTATTTTATGTTTTATTTATTTTAACAGATAATAGTAAGAAGAAAACTTACTGATGTTGCTCAACTGTGTTAAAGCATGCCTACCTGGTGCCTTCCTTCTTACCCTTACAACAACAAAGCAGATGAGTTTTCTTGTTTGGAAACATCTCTTCAACTCTATTCCTCTGAATGAATTTTTGATGTTCTTACTTTCAGTAGATATCTGGTTAATAGTTGGTTTTGACCCTTTCTATTTCCTGTTATATCTTTAAACTGAGAATCATTCTTCTGCTATTTTTGATATTCTCTGTATCATGCTAATCTTTCCGACCTGTTACTTTCAGTCGGGGGTCTAACAATTCTCAACTTGGAAACTTAATAATGAGGCATGTTATACATTGGATGGCAGAGCCATGAAATGATCAGTTAAAGTAAACCACAGTGGCAGATCATGTTAAAAATCAACAGCTAAGAAGACTGATTAGTGAGACAGTGGAAGATTATGAATACAAAGGCTAGAAAAGGTCTAACTACGACACTTTAAGGTTAAACTGATTAACTTGTGTTAGTCGTAAGCACACCGTTAATGAAACAGTAGAAAGTAGAAGACTGAAAGAATACACTGTCTCAAGGATGTTAACAGAGCAGAAAAATGAGGCTTTGATTTATCTATCAACTCTTCCGACTTGTTCTTTAACTAAATGCCCTATATACTACCTCAAGCTTTATAACTTATGTTAGGCTTATACTTTGTGTTCGTTTAGGCTCAGCACTGAACAAGGATATATTTGGGACAATATACTACCATGCTTTAAAAGCTTGTATATGGAGTAAAACATGAAATAGAATTGTATTTTTTGGATAAATTCAACATCACTCAAGGATGAACTATGTACCAGCCTTCATGCTTCTGCTTTTCTATTCACACATAAGACATCCAAATTGCAAATCCTGCAAATGGAACTGCTCGGCTATTTACTATACAATAGAACTGCTTCTTGGTTTCCTTCACTCGTTCTGTTAATCTCAGAAAGTTAATTTCTTTTATACATCTCCATTCTGGCAACAAAATTGGCGTGCCTTCTAATCTAAAATGATTAGTCAAACATCTAAACTCCAATCAAACTTATGTTTTTTCTCCTTTTGGACATTCGCAAGTTCACAACAATATAGAGTTGCTTCAAAACGGTAAAATGGCCATAACTTTGTTTGGAAAACACACAACTATTTGGCGAAAAACCTTGTTTAAAAGTCCTCACATTCTACAATTTCTATAAAAGATTAACTGACAGAGTACAAAAGTATACTCCACAACCTTTTCCGATAGAAATTTATTCATGAACCAGCATGAAGTTCAAGTATTCTATTCAACATGGAAGTCTCCCAAAATTGTCTAAAATTAATAATTTAACTTGCATTGCCATTTTCCTCCCCTACTTAATAAAGTGGAATTCAGAACTTCCACAAATAAGAAAAATAATGCAAAGAGTAGAAGAATGAGAAGAAAAAAAAAATCTGAGACAAACTTAAAACTTGAAGGGCACACTGCGTACAGTATGGTGTGCTTCCAATAAAACTATATGCTAACATGGTTAGATTTTCAAGCTTCTTAATGTTGAACTAAGCACAGAGAGATTGCTGGGAGCTCTCTGCTTATAGTCTTTCTCCAATGCCATTGCGGACAAAGATTGCAGCTCTGAGCTCTCCTTGTCCTCCTTGCTTCGCCCTTTACTCAGCTGCGCAATGGCAGACGTACACTGGAAACAGCAATATATAAAGTGAGTTCTCCAAGACTGTGTATGATAAAAAAACAAGAACCTTCTTCGTTAACTAGTACGAGTAATTAACAGTTGATGAAGTTTTAAGAACTCTCAGTATTTAGAGAATTCAATTAATGTAAAGAACTAGCAAAAATGCAGGGTAAGGCTGCGTACAATAGACCCTTGTGGTCCGGCCCTTCTCCGGACCCCGCACATAGCGGGAGCTTAGTGCACCAGGTTGCCCTTTTCTTTAATTAATGTAAAGAACTAGGGACATACAGGACCGGAGTGCAATTCTGGACTCCCAAGTCGGAAAACAGCGTGCAGAGTGCAATGATGCCTAACGTCTTCGATTTTTTCTGTGATTTTTTTCCGGATAAGTAATTTGTTATTTATTTTTCCAAAAATCTAGAGCACTTTTATTTATTTCTTTACATCTAGAGCATTAACATATAAGAAAACTAGTAATCTTAATCAAGGACTATTTGATCAAATTTTAGAAAAAGAGAGACAAACAGAAAGACTGACCAAACATATGCCAAAAAGTGCTCTGGTACTCTTGCCACCAGTCAAGTCAATGGTAGATGCATAATATTTCTTTGCCATCTGAAGGTTTTCTAGTCCACCAAGTGTATAGAGCACCTGTTCCACCCAGAAAGAACGATGACGAGTGATTATTTCCGGCAACTATCAGAAAAATGGAACAGTAATTCCAGTCGACATTGGGGAAGCACGTTCTTCATGAAATCAGAAAATTAACATGCAACCCAAAACACACTTATTCTTTAACCCTGGAACCCAGTTGGTCCAAGAGAGCACGCAAGTAATATGAGCCAACGTTTCCCTTAAAAAATTACTGAAGCAGATATCAGAATCCTTTCCATTTTTAATCCATGAGAAAATACATTGAAGGTACTTTAAGTACTTCCTAGGTTCACCATTTACATCATATCAGCCTTTTCATCACTATTTTCCTCGATCTATAAGAACACCTTTCTCAGGTCTTACAAGATTCAGTAGCTAATCTATTACCTCACTATAGTTCTAAGCCAGACATAGATACAGTTCACATAGAACCTGAACAGGAACTAATGCGGAAATCATCAGGCAATAATAACCACCAGCATCTTATAGCCTGTTTGGCCAAGTTTTTTTTGGGCCAAAAGTGCTTTTTTTGGCCAAAAGCACTTTTGGCCAAAAATTGAGGTGTTTGGCCAAGCTTTTGGAAGGAAAAAAGTGCTTTTGAGGAGAAGCAGAAGCAGTTTTTGAGAAGCAGAAAAAAGTAGCTTCTCTCCGGAAGCACTTTTCTGAGAAGCACTTTTGAAAAAATACACTTAGAAGCAGTTTTCAAAAGCTTGGTCAAACACTAAATTACTGCTCAAAAGTGTTTTTCATATTAATTAGCCAAACACAAGCTGTTTCTTACCAAAAATACTTTTTTAAAAAGTACTTCTGAGAAAAGCACTTCTCAAAATAAGCTGATTTTAGAAGCTTGGCCAAACGGGCTATTAATGACCCACTCACCCCCAATCAAGAGTGACATACAACGAGGGTAATAAGTTCAGGTGCAAGCAGACAGGTACATCGTCCAGCTTCTTATTATTTCCTCTTTTTTCCTTTATTTTTTCTTTTCTTCTCCTTCAGATTTCTCTGAAGGATTTGGACCAAATCCACATTTTCCCTAATTAACTATCATATCTAAAGACTTGTCCATTTAATTTCAAAAACAGACGCCCTCAGCTTCTTCTATCAAAGAGTGGAGGTCTTAGGTATTTCTCTAACTAGAGAAAGATTCATTTTGTTCAATAAACTAGGTCCACATAACTGTCCCATGATAAAGCCACTTGTCCTGATATTTTTGTGCCTAAGCAAGCAAAAGGGAGGGAAACTAATCTTTCTTTCAGTGGGCAACCAAGAAGTTGGAATTTGAAATTAAAGTGAAGAACGAATCCGCTCCAGGGTTCGCAAGTCCAGAGTCAGCACAATGGGAAAATCTCTACAGAATCAGATTGAATTCTAGAAAATTCCTCCTCTCATCTTCTCCCTATTTCTACACATTGATAACTTCTTAAACTCCAAATATCACTTTGTTACTGATTTCTAGTAAACTTCTAACTAAGCAAAATAATGTGCTCTGACAGCTTCATTAGTTCATTACTGACAGAGAGAGACAGAGACAGAGAGACATGAAAGGGCAGCCCGGTGCACTAAGCCCCCGCTATGCGCGGGGTCCGGGGAAGGGCCGGACCACAAGGGTCTATTGTACGCAGCCTTACCTTACCCTGCATTTTAGCAAGAGGTTGTTTCCACGGCTCGAACAACTACTAGCCACACTGAACAGCTACTCCAGTAAGATTGGGAATTTGAAGAGCTAGTCAGACTACTAGCCACACTGAACGGCTACTCCAGTAACAACCTAGTATCAGACCAGCTCAGATGGGGGAATGCACATGCAGGAAGGTACTCCGTGAAAGCAGCCTACAAGTTATCAGAAGCTCAAAATGCAATCACCGACCACTGGCCTTGGAAGCTAATATGGAAAGTTAAACTGCCGCCTAAAGTTGCATGTTTCAACTGGACTGCTCTCCATGGATCATGTCTAACACAGGACAACTTAGTCAGAAGAAATTTTCAGATTGTCAATAGATGCTACATGTACCAGAGGAAGGCAGAATCACATAGCCATCTCTTCCTACACTGCCCAGTTGCAGCAGACCTCTGGAATATGTTTATTTCTCTTTTTGGACTCAGATGGGTCATGCCACATAACATCAGGGAGGCTTTTGAGAGTTGGAGCTTTTGGAAAGTTGACAGCACCATCAAGAAAGTATGAAAGATTGTTCCTGCTGCTATCTTTTGGAGTATCTGGAAGGAAAGGAATAGCAGATGTTTCGATGGACTATCAACTACTTTCCAATCTCTCAAAGCTAATTGTATTATGTTTTTATACACTTGGGTTTATTTATCCCCCATAGATTCCCCTAATAGTTATTTGAATTTTGTTAGCTCCTTAGTATTAGCCTGAACATCTGTATTGGAGCTGACATTATTCCTTTTTGCTATATCTCTTTTGTAACTATTATGCATCTTCTTGATGCCAGCAATGAAATTAATTACTTCATAAAAAAAGGGCTCGAACCCGTGACCTCTTGGTCACATGGCAAAGAGACATGGAGACATGGAGATAGAGAAACTGGTTGGACAGCAACCTAGATTCCCAAGCCTCCCTCTTGATAATAACTTTTGCATTTGGTAAAAATAGCTGCTAGAAAGACCAAATATGAATCAATCTACTTTCTTTTATCCACTGAACTAGGTGATAAATGAAGCTTCATGAGCAACTTACGCAAGAACAAATACCAATACCTCTCAAAAATGGATGCAAGCTCACAAGGATTGCAAGCTATTATTAAAGCACCTCTAATACAACAACAACAACAACAACATACCATACCCAGTAAAATCCCACTAGTGAGGTCGGGGA